GTTGGTTAGTTTAATGTTAACTTGACACAAGCTGGACTCATTGGGAAAAATGACTCTCAACTGAGAAAATGCCCCTATATGAGTGGTCTGTAGACAAGTGTGATCAATGGCTGATGTGGAAGTTTCCACATCAGCCTGTTTTGGGTAGTGCCAGCCTTGGACAGGAAGTTCTGGCTAGTATAAGGAGGCAGTAAGCAGCATCCCTTTTGACTTCCTGCTCTGACTTCCACTGTGGTAAAACCACTGGCAATTGCGAAGAGGGTATAGCTATTTTAACTGTGCTTTGTATCTTCATAATTTGTTTTCTACATAGTTGGAGGATTGAATTAAGGATTCAGTCCTCAATTACTGGATTATAGCTGGAGAAATGGCTTTGACAGTAAAGACACTGCTGCAGGATCTGGATTCTGACTATAGGACGAAAGTGAAAAGAATGACTTGACTCCTCCAGATTGTCCTCTGACCTCTACTGTACACCATGGCACACATACACTCAGACACGAACAAGTAAATAAATGTAATGAACAATACTGACTTACAGTTTTGAATATATAATGTATAATTAAATGATTTTATGACATCAGAAACTGAAAATGGATAGTAATAGTGACTTTGATAGGGCTTTAGTATAATGTTCTTTTAGTATTAAAATTAAACTGCTATAAATTCAAATTAGAATTTGTACTTTAGATTGTTAAACAATCTCCAAGTTATTCTAAAGAGAATAACTATAGAATACAAAGAACCATTTAGAGGTAACTATAACTTTTCATTTTAGAAAATAATTGAAACACAGTAAAAAACAGTAAAGCCTATACAGAAAGCAAGAAAGAAAAGGAAAGCACAGAAGTCCCTTCCTAGGTGTGGTCACTTTGTATGTAAATGGGCTATTCAATCAAAAGAGAGGAAAAGAGAAAGACAAGTTGGGAGAGAGAGAGAGAGAGAGAGGGAGAGGGAGAAAGAGAGAGATAGAGATAGAGACAGAGAGAGAAACAATAACTAAATGGTGTGGTGGCACACACCTACCAGTAATCTCCACAGTTGGGAGGTAGAGTGTGTAAGGAGAGTTCACTCCAAGTTCAAGGACAGCCTGATATACTATCTACAAAACACAAAAAGACAACGTTGAAAGAGAATGAAAAATATAATCTGTACATAACAAAGAAGAGCATAGGTGCCTATACATTCAGCTAAGAAATAAACCTTAAATAAAAATAAAAGTCATTTTATGAGCCCAGTACTAACCCTGGTACCAAAGCCAGAAACACTTTAAGGAAAGAAATCTACCAACCAACAGTATTATGTTTGAAGTAGAACTTCCCAACAAAGCACTAGCAAAATGATTCTAGCAGTGTAGAAGATGGTCCATCCATAGTGAAAACTGAGAGTCAGTTCTGGAACAAGTTTTTGTTTGTTTGTTTTTTTGGTCTTCTTTTTTTTTTTCAAATGACATTTTTTTTATTAATTACACTTTATTCACTTTGTATCCCTCCATAAACCCCTCTCTCCTCCCCTCCCCAAGTCCACTGATAGGGGAGGTTCTCCTCTCCTTCCTTCTGATCTTAGTCTATCAGATCTCATCAGGAGTGGCTGCATTGTCATCTTCTGTGGCCTGGTAAGGCTGCTCCCCACTCAGGGGGAGGTGATCAAAAAGCAGACCAATCAAATTATGTCAGAGGCAGTCCCTCTTCCCATTACTATGTAACCCATTTGGACACTAAACTGCCATGGGCTACATCTGTGCAGCGGTTCTAGGTTATCTCCATGCATGGTACTTGGTTGGAGCATGAGTCTCTGGGAAGACCCCTGTGTTCAAATTTCTGGTTCTGTTGCTATCCTTGTGGAGTTCCTGTCCACTCCAGATCTTATTATTTCCCACTTCTTACATAAGATTCCATGCACTCTGCCAAACAGTTGGCCATAAGCTCTGCCCTGCAGACTATCAAAGCAGATGCTGAGACTTATGGTCTTCATTTTTTTAACAAAGAAAAATTATCTCTATAAAGTATACAACTTGATACTTTTTGATAAGCCTGTTCTCTGTGGGAGAGCTAAATTAAGCTTATTTGCATTTGTATAACTTCAGGTATCTATCAAGTTTTTTGATGAGAATACTTATGGCCTATTCTCTTTGCAATTTTCTATTTTATATTATGTTTCTCTTGATGAATGTAGGTTAGACCTCTTAAACCCATCATCTTCTCTAACTGCAATTTTATGTTCTTCAGCCATTATATCTCAGAGAGCATCTGCCACTAATAATGAATATTCTACTCTATGTATCTGAATTTAACATTTTTGAAGTCTACATGTGATTATCAAGTGCTGTTTGTCTTTCTAGACTTTGCAAAGATGTTTACACATTAGTAAACCAATTAATGCACTTTACCACCTCATCAGAGTAAAGAGTGAAAGCATCATGATATCTTAGTAGATGCAGAAAGAACAGTAGATCAACAATCTTTTATGATAAAAAAAAAGCATTCAACATAATAAAAGTCACACATGAAAACACAGTACCAGAAGTTGGAAGACTCAAAGTTTTTCATGTACGATAAGGAACAAGAGATTTCTACCTTTCCCGTTTTTTATCAACCTTAGTACTGGACACTCTAGCTACAGTAATTAGGCAAGAAAGATGAATAAAATTCATTACAATTAATTAAGAAGACAAAAATATTCCCTTTTCCCAGAATACGTAGTATTAGATGTAGAAAATAATTTCTCAAAAATATGGTTAGAACTAGTAATTTTATTCAGTAAAGTAGTAGGATCAAAGTTGACACACACAAAACTCAATTCTTTACACAAGAAAATTAGGAAGACTCCCACTGAAAAAATAGCATTTAAGTAAATTACCTAAGAATTGATCAAATATGTGAATTATGTATGTAATTAAAAACTATAAAGCCTCACTTAGATAAATAAAATAAAACCTAAGTAAATGAATACAACACTTCACTGTTAAGATATAACTTCCCCAAAGTAGCCCAAAGGTCCAACACAGTCTCTGTCAAGGCCTCAGCTACATTTTGGTCTTGAGTAAAGAGTACTCCAGGAAACTCCATGTGGCACCTCAAGGGGCTCTGGACAGTTAGAAACACTGTAGAAAGGGCAACAAAACTAGAGGACTCTCTTTTCTTTTTTATTATCATTTGTTAAAATTTATTCAGTTTGTATCCTGGCTGTGGCCCCTTCACTTCTCTCCTCCCAATCCCACCCTCCCTCCTTCTTCTTCCCCATGCCCCTCCCCTAGTCTACTGATAGAAGAGGTCCTCCTCCTCTTCTATTTGACCCTAGCCTATTATGTCTCACCAGGACTGGTTGCATTGTCTTCCTCTGTGGCCTGGCAAGACTGCTCCCCCACCCCCGTGGGAGGTGATCAGAGATCCTGCCACTGAGTTCATGTCAGAGAAAGTTCCTCCTCCCCTTACTAGGGACCCTATTTGGAGACTGAATCTATGGGCTACATCTGAGCTGGGGTTTTAGGTCCTCTCAATCCACTGTCTTTGTTTGGGGTGGCATTCTCTTGAGGGCCCCCAGAGCTAAGTTTTTATAGCTCTTTTGATCTCCTTTTGGAGCTCCTGTCCCCTCCAGGTCTTTCTATCTCCGCCTTCTTTCATAAGATTCCCTGTACTCTGCCCAAAGTTTGGCTATGAGTCTCAGCCTCTGCTTTGATACCTCGATCAGTAGAGTCCTTCAGAGGCAATCTGTGGTAGGCTCCTGTCCTGTTCCCTGTCTTCTCCTGCTTCCAATGTCTATCACGTTTGTCCTTCTGAATGAGGATGGAGCATCTTTCCTAGGGTCTTCCTTGTTGTTTAGCTTCTTTAGGAGTATAAATTTTTAGCATGTTTATCCTGTATTATGTGGCTAATATCCACTAATGACTGAGTATATACCATGTGTGTCTCTCTGCTTCTGGGTTACCTCACTCTAGATGATCTTTTCTAATTTGCACTATTTGCCTGCAAATATCATGATTTCCTTCTTTTTAATAGCTGAGTAGTATTCCATTGTGTAAATGTACCAGAATTTCTTATCCATTCCTCAGTTGAGGGACATCTGGGTTTTTCCCGCTTCTGACTATTATGAATAGAACTGCTACAAACATGGTTGAACAAATGTTCTTGTTGTATAGCTGAGCATATTTTGGATATATGCCTAGGAGTGGTATAGCTGGATCTTGAGGTAGCACTATTTCTAATTTTCTGAGAAAGCACCAGATTGATATCCAAAGTGGTTGTAAAAGTTTACACTCCCATCAGCAACAGAGGATGGTTCCCCTTTCTTCACATCCAAGCAAAGGACATTGTTGTCATAACAAAATGACAGCCTACAGATTGGGAAAGGATCTTTACCAACCCTATATCTGACAGAAAGCTAATATCCAGAATATATAAAGAACCCAAGAAGTTAAAAAGCAACAAATCAATTAATCCTTACCAGGTCACAGAAGAAGAAAGTGCAGCCACTCCCAATGAGACTAGGATTGGAGAGAAGGGGAAGAGGACCTCCCTTTTCAGTGGACTGGGAGAGGGACGTGGGTTGGGAAGAGGGAAGGTATGACTGGGAGGGTAGGAGGGAGGGAGGTACAGGGGGATACAAAGTGAATAAACTGCAATTAATAAAAATAAAAAATATAAAGGTAAAAAAGATTGAGAAAAAATGGGTTACAGAGCTAAACAGAGAATCCTCAATAGAGGAATATCGAATGACAGAGAAACACTTAAAGAAATGCTCACTGTCCTTAGTCATCAGGGAGATGCAAGTCAAAACATCCTCAAGATTTCACCTTACACCATCAGAATGGCTGAGTTCAAAAACTCAAGTGACTACACGTGCTGGAGACTTTTTCTTCTTAATTTTTAAAATATTACCACAAAGCTACAATAATAAAAATTATTTTGGCATTAAGAGAAGTATAAATTAATAGAATACAATAGAATAGAATAGAGAGTTCATAAATAAGCCATTAAAATATATGGTCATATTTCTTGTAGGAATTTGAAATTGTTCAGTGGGAAAGAGAATCGTTGTCAGAACATGGTCAAAAGAGGATCTGCGGTGAACAATGCCTTTGGGAACTGTGAGAGAAATCCCAGGAATAAAGGGCAAAGGGCCTTTACCTCAAATTGTTACCTCAGGTTTGTTCCCTGGATTGTACTTGGACATGATTTTGTACCAGACCCAATCTGTGTACTCTAAATCTGGATATGGCCTTCTGCCTTGCTTTCATGCGTTCCCAGATATAATCATAATCTATAGCATATGTCAAACAATTGTGTTTAAGTATGTCTGTCCTGAGAAAATTCTGGGGAAGGGCTGCTCTGTTAATATATTTGCCTACTGGAATTTATTTTTTATGTTTTTTGACCATGGTTTTCTGAACTCAAACAGCCTTTCTTGGATCATTGCAGTCTATGTTACATTTGTATATACAAGCACACTGAAACTGAAATAAGGTTGTCTACAGTCTTATTTGAGATTTTAGTCTGACCCATTCTTTCAGGTACTCTTATCCCAGGTTCAGCATATAAGATCTGCACAAGTTGATGAAAGTTGACATTTGTAACAAATGTTTCTGGGAAAACTGGATATATATATATATAATTTTTTATTATTAGTTACATTTTATTAACTGTATCCCAGCTATATCCCGCGCCCTCATTCCCTCCCTCCCTCATCTCCTCCCTGCCCCTTTCCAAGTCCACGGATTGGGGAGGACCTCCTCCCCTTTCATCTGACCCTGTTTTATCAGGTATCTTCAGGACTGGCTGCAAAGTCCTCCTCTGTGGCCTAGCAGGACTGCTCCTCCCTTGGGGTGTGGGGAGGTCAAAGAGCCTGCCATTGAGTTCCTGTCAGAAACAATCCCTGTTCCCCTTACTATGGAAAACCAATTGGTTACTGAGCTACCACAGGCTACATCCAAGCAGAGGTTCTAGGTTATATCCACACATGGTCCTTGGTGGAGTGTCAGTCTCAGAAAAGACCCCTGTGCCCAGATATATTTGGTCCTTGTGGAGCTCCTGTCCTTTCCATGTTATACTAACTCCCCCTTCTTTCATGATTCTGGGTGGCTGCAGCAACACTGAGCTGTACAAGGATATCTATATTTAAAAGTATAGCATAAAGCTGGACTGTTATCTAATGCCATGCACACATATTACCCCAAGAAAGATCCAAAGCCTTTATACAAGACAAAAACAAAAAACAAAAACAAACAAACAAACAAACAAACAAACAAAACCTGGAGGCTGGAGATATGACTTAGTGACTAAAAGCATTTACTGCTCTTGTTCAGTTCCCAGCACCCATGTTAGGTGACTCACAACCTCCTGTAACTCCAGCTTCAGGGGATCAGAAGCTCCTTTCTAGCCTCTGTGGACACTTGCACTTATATGTGCAAATCATTCACACACACACACACACACACACACACACACACATACACACACCACAGACACAATTAAAAATAAATATATTTTTAAGGACATAAAACTATACCACTTATTTGAAGAAACCATAGGACAAAACTATGATCTTTGTTTTAGCAGCAATTATTGGATAAGAACGGTGCTACCTAAAGGGAAAACACAGACAAATACAATAATTTTGTACAACAAAAGATACTGTCCCCAGAATATCAAAACCAAGCCATAAAATGAGAGAAATGTTTACAAATCATCTATCTGGTAGAGGATTAAGATGACTATACAGAGAGTCTTTAAACAAGAGCAAGAGAACTCGTCACATAATGTTCAAAGAATTTGAACAGACATCTCTAGGGCAACCCAGGTTAATACTATGATGAGCTGTGGTCTATCCCAGATTACAAGAACGGCTCCCAAAATATAGAAAACAATAAATGTTGTGAGGATGTTAAAAAATTGGAACCCTTCTACACTGTTGATAGGGAGGCAAAGTGTTACAATTGCTATGGGAAACAGTGTGTGGTCCTCAGAAAACAAAAAATAGAATTGTCATATGAGTCGGCAATTCCATTTGTGGGTATGTATCAATAATATTGAAAGAGATATCTCATTAATGCATGAATTATTCATTGCAGCATCAATCACAATAGCTAACATACAGGTGAGATCCAGGAAGGATTCAGGGGTTATTCTTCAGATGTGGTAAAACAAATGGATGGGTGGCGAGTTAATGCCCTGGCAGGAAACAGGGGAGAAATAGCAGGCTTTATATCAGAAGTGATTTTGTTCAACTGTGGGCGTGGGGAACACTTAAAAGACAACTGGGTCAGTGGTCCATCCCACTTTTGGGTTAGACCCACAGTGGTTTTTGTTTTTTGTTTTTTGTTTTTTTTTGGAGGCTTCAGAATGCATTTATTACCAGTTAGTTCATACTTTTGTATTCATATATGGATACTTTTATCGTAAGTATTCATTTTTTTATTTTTTATTTTTTTATTTTTTTAATTTTTTTAAAATTTTTTATTAATTACACTTTATTCATTTTGTATCCCCCAATAAGCCCCTCCCTCCTCCCCTGCCAATCCCACCCTCCCTCCCCTTTCTGCATGCATGCCCCTCCCCAAGTCCACTGATAGGGGAGGTTCTCCTCTTCTTTCTGATCTTAGTCTATCAGTTCTCATCAAAAGTGGCTGCATTGTCCTCTACTGTGGCCTGGTAAGGCTGCTCCCCCCTCAGGGGGAAGTGATCAACGAGCAGGCCAATCAGATTATGTCAAAGGCAGTCCCTCTTCCCATTACTATGTAAACCACTTGGACACTGAACTGCCATGGGCTACACCTGTGCAGGGGTTCCAGGTCATCTCCACGAATAGTCCTTGGTTGGAAACAACCTTGAAACCTGCCACAGAGGGCCTCTGAAAGCTTCTGCAGTATAGACTGTCAAAGCAGATGCTGAGCCTGATGGCCAACTGATGGGCAGAGTGAATGGAATTTTATGTAAGAAGTGGGAAATAGTAAGAGCTGGAGGGGACGGGAACTCCACAAGGAGAGCAACAGAACAAGATAATTTGAACACAGGGAACTTCCCAGAAAATCAGACCCACAGTGTTTTTGAGCAATATATGATAGCTGAAGCCATCAGTTTGGATTAGGACAACTAGGGAGAATTGGTAGAAATCAAGATAGGACTTGATTTCTAGGAATGCATCTATGAAAGAGAAGCCAGTGTTAAGACAGAATCATTAAAGAAGAGCGAGAACTATCAGGCAGTAGTGGACAAGTCTCCAGAAAATGAGATGGTTGATAAGAAAATAAGTAAACACAGGGAGACTGATAGACAGCTGATGGTCGTGATGAGGTTCTAGCTGTTTTCCTTTTGTACTTTGTTTTATAAATTAACTTTCAATACCCTACTTTGTTCTTGAAAAGAAAAACATGATCAAACTTCTTTCATATTGCAAAACTTTTTTTAAGACATACATGTATTTTTTGTAACATATATCCATTTCTACATTAATGACTGTCTTTGTTAGGGTTTCTATTGCTGTGAAGAGACACCAAGGCCACGGCAGGCAGCTCTAATAAAAGACAACTTTTAACTGGGCCTGTCTTACAGTTGCAAAGGTTTAGTCCATTATCATCTCAGCACGCAGGCGGATATGATACTGGAGAAAGAGCTTAGAACAGCAGAATAAGTCTGTGAGCCAATGAGCCTGGGCTTCAATTTGGAAGTACCTCCTAGTGATGTACTTTCTCCAAGGAGGCCACACCTCTTAATATTGACACTCCCTATGGACAAAATATAAGAGTTTATAGAGGTCATTCCTATTCAAACCACTACAATGTCTGAATTTGCATTTATGTTAACTTTTTTTGTTTAGGATGAATAAAAGCTTCCTTAAAGTAGACTTTAAAGAAGGCAACCACAGGAGGGACACTTAAAGTTAATTATGGGCATGGCAGTCATGAAGTCATAGTGATCTTGAAAGGTGATTTTTTTTTTCAAAGAAGTGGAAATAAAAGTTGAACTTAGTAGACTGACAGTGAGTGGACCCTATGAAGTAATGCCTATAAATTATATGACTTCCAGGAAACTAAATAGGAATACAAAATAGAGACTTAGACAGGAGGATATTTTCTTTTTTGTAGAAGAGGCTTAGACACAAACTATTTCTATAATATCTGTATGTAGATATGCATACACATGTGGTGTGTGTATGTGTGTGAAAGCAGACCTGGAGGAGTATTGACAACAGAGACAGAAGAAATTGCTAATTTAACATCTCATAAATCAGTAACAGTTGCATTTAAAGCAGATTGGCTTGCCAGGGGTCAGGGCAAGCTTTTCTCTAAAGCAGGCAGTGGAACCAGGGCGCTGGAAGCTGTTCCTGAAGTTCAGATGTGAGGAAGTGAAAGCAGAGCTACATTTGCCCTTGATAGCTCTTCCCACCTGAGAGGCAGAGGCCTGTGATGAGATAAGAGTGAAGCCTGACCAGAGGACAGTGGGACAGTCCCCAAGAGAATGTGAAAAGGCATTTACCAGGAAGAGATGATGAAAACCATTCTGTTTCTGTTATATCTACTTTCAAGAGCTCATCTGAAAATGCAAGCACTCATCTACATTAAGAAGTCTAGGGAGCAGCCTTACCAGGCCACAGTAGAGGACAATGCAGCCACTTTTGATGAGAACTGATAGACTAAGATCAGAAAGAAGAGGAGAACCTCCCCTATCAGTGGACTTGGGGAGTGGCATGCATGCAGAAAGGGGAGGGAGGGTGGGATCGGGAGGGGAGGAGGGAGGGGCTTATGGGGGGATACAAAATGAATAAAGTGTAATTAATAAAAAATTAAAAAAAAGAAGTCTAGTGGCTTTGGAATGTGCAAATATTTGGTAGCATATACCAAATAATGTGATAAGTCATACCATTATTTTATTTATATATCTAGTCCATATACAAGACTACAATATTTGCTTGTCACAAAAGGAACATATTAGAATTAGAAAAATGAAAGTGAATCTTGTATTGAAAAAATTCTATTTCTACTTAAAATAAAGGTATTAAGGAATTTATGAGCAAGTCCTATAAGTTGGGTTTGAATCTGGGTGTACTGTATTTGCTTATTTTTTCCTCAATAGAATACTACTCAACTATTAAAAACAAAACAAAACAAAAAAAAATCATGAAATTTGCAGGCAAATATATGGAACTAGAC